AGAGTGATCATCTTTGGGGGGGAGAGGTGGGGGTAGTGTGAAATCAGCAGGCTCAGAGCAGTTTTACTGAAGGTTCATCTAAGGTAAGGCAGCAAGCTACAGGCCACCTGTTGCTTTTATTGCAATTTTCCCCCTTGCTTGACATTCTGAGCCAGCGGTTCCCTCGGAGCCCTTCGTGCCTACATACACATACGACACACAACAGGCGTGCGAGGTTTCCCTGCTGAACGTGTTTAATATTCTGTCTGTGCTGGCATGCTCTTGTCTTGCTTCATAAAACCTGTTGAAAGCCAGTCAATTCATTAATCTTTTGCCAAGAGACGTTAAATGCCAAACAGGGAAAGACGATAATGACTTGACAGTTCATAAGAAAGGGCCTGATCCTGCAAGGTGCTGAGAGTGGGAGCCAGCGGGAAGAGGAGGGTGCCTGGCATGCCATAGGATTGATCCCTTGCACATTTGCTTCTTGCTCTCTGCCCCGGTTTGGTACACAGCTTCCGAGGTGAAGCCAGGAAGTCACGAGCGTATGATGAAGCCACGACCGCGATGCTGTCTTTTGAGGAGGTCTCTGCAGCCTGACTGGTCTGACACGTCCCCAGACCAGAGTCTGCATTGGGGGGTTGGCAGAATTGATGCTTCAAAGCACGCAGAGGAGAAATAGGGACAGCTCGGTCCGTTGCCAATGCGAAGCCGACTCTTCTCTGCCGCCGTGGCTAACTGACAAAGCCCTGGCAGTGGAAGCTGCAAATCATTTGCGATGAGTAATCACCTGCGCTGCCCGGTCCAGCTTTAAATTGCAGGATCCTCAGGGCGGGGGCTGCGGGCGGTGCTGGGGGCTGGGGGCGGTGCGGCTGAGCCCCCGCGCCCCGCCGCAGCTTCGACGCCTCTTCCCCGCTCCACGTCGAAGAGCCGGGCGCCGCACGGGGGAGGGAGGAGGAAGCAGTACTGCCAGCCTCGGGCGATCGGGGAGCATGAGTCAGGCTGCAAAACGGCAATGAGTTTCGCTGAAAGCTTGTGGGTTCAGAGAATAATAATTGTCGAAGCCTTTTGATTTGAATCTTAGGTCCTGAGATTTAAGGGCCGAGAGTTTTGAGCCTTTTTCAGTGTCATGATGGAGGTTATAAATGTTTAAAGAAACAAGGAGAAGAAGAGTTCTTCACATCGTTGCATGACTTAAGGAGCTGAAGCTTTACTAATGAAACTGCAGTTATCACAGGACTTGCATTAAACTAATCAGAGTGGGTATCACTGAGGTCAACCACAGTTTCCAAAAGGTCCCACTGGTTCCAGGGCAGTTAGTGATGCTGAAGTGATGCACTAAAAATCAAGTACACTCAGCCTTCTTGGTGTACTGGAGAAGTGGATCAATACTGAATTAGAGGTGGATAAACTGCATTTAACTATATTTAACAATACCACTGATAGCACTTAAACTTATTAGGTATCAATTATCCCTCAGTTTCACAGCAGCTCGCCTCTGTTTCATATCTGCAGCATCTGATTGCTGCAGCCAGAGTCTGTGACAGAGCTGATGGTGTTCCGTCCCTCAGCTGATGAAATCAGAGTCTAATTTTGCAGAAACTTTTTTCCTGAGTCATTCATCAGTCTTAAATCCCCCCAAATGAAGCCAAGCTGGTGTGTAGCATTCTTTCTGATTTAAAGTGCCCTTCCCAGCTTAGTACTCAGGCATCCTCTCCAATTTGAAGATAGAAAAAAAAGCTTCATAAGAAAACTGGCATGGTGGTTTCCAGTTACTGTGTACTGCTGATAGGCTTCATAATGAAACTGCAGTTTTCTGCAACAAGGGCTACAAACAGACATCCCGTACACTTCTGCAAAATTATTCCCTTGAACATACGTCATGTACAAGGCACCACATGGCCTGTGCTTCTTGTTAAGATTGCCAGTCTCTTCACTGAAAACAAGATGGGTCTTTGCTGTCGTTTCTGCATATGCTTCTATGCTGACTGAGTATTTTTAATTGGATGCACTTTCTCTCCTCACCAAAGGCAGTCCAGTTTAAATAGCAAACACACTCCACTCCGTGCATCCCTCAGTCACAGAGGTTATCTGCAGACAGTCTTGCAAGTACATCACTGCTCATGGCTTTCCATAAAGCAGATCAATTCTAATGGTAGGAGAGGATAACCCCAATTTCAGAGAGTGCCTCGGTGCTAATGCAGCCACCATCCAGGGTATTGTCTTCACCACGTCCCACTGTTGGCATGTTTGGTGGAAGGGGGGTAGGTGATGGCACAGCTGAAGCTCATGGCCCATCCTGCTTCTCTGCAGCACTCTGTAGCGCATGAAAGGCAGGAATGGGTACCTAGAGCATCCTGTCCTCATTACACCTCTAATCCATCTAAACCCTAATAAAGTACAACCTGACAGTGGACAGCAGCAACCACAGCTGAGCTGTCTGTGATGTGCAAGCAGCTCTGTGGCCCGAGTTGCAACAACTGCCCTGCGCAGGTGGAAGGTGGGATTGTGGCACAGATCAAACCAGCCTCCCCCCCCAGAACAAGCAAAACTGCCCTTGATGGGTGGGTACAGGCTTCCCAGGCAGGCTCGGTAGGAGGACGGGAGTTGGGGAGTGCCTATCGCTTCTGGAGGCCTGGTGATCATTCCTTGGGCACAGGAACGCTTGTAAGTCTTTCCAAAGGCCATGGAAAAGCAAAGGGATAGCAGCTGGAACACTTCAGTGAAGGATGGGGAGAAGATGGGGGGTATCTTCTTCTGGCCCTGCCTCCTCCCATTGGCGGAAGCAGGAAGAGGTCCAGCACTCTGGCATCTAGAGATCACTATTCTTCTCAAAACCAATTTGTTTTACCGTGGGTAAATCAGGATACAGGGACTGGGGGAGCATCCAAATCACCCACACCCACAGATAGGCCATCTTCTTGATTTGAACACAAAGAGCCCGGTCCTCCTCTGGAGGATGGTCTGCCAGCCCAGATCTCTTCTGCTTGCTCCCCTTGCAGGAAGGACTTCCATGCCTGGTGTCAGTGCTCAGGAGCCGGACAGAGGCCTTGCAGCACGGGTCACGCAGTGCTCCTGCAGCCCAGTGCTAAGAAATGCAGAAATACTCTCAGGTTGTAGAGGAGAGAACAGATTTTTTGCTGTTCTTTCAATCTTGCATCCGAACTGTGGGCGCAGTTGGGGTCTGCCTCTGCCATCCCCAGGGTGCACCCAGCCACACCAAACCTTCCACCAAGGCTTGGGGCAAGCCAACAATTCCCCTCTGCCCACATCGAGCATGTTCCTGTGGCCAAATACATCAAGGCAACAGAGCAGGATTCCCCTGACCAGCTCTGCACTGAGTTGCTGCCGGTGTCTTCTGCTCTGCTTAATTTGGGAACACCTCTTTGGCTGGCAAGTGTGGTGTGGGGAGGGCGGCCATGGGGGATGCACTGGACCGCTGCCAGGAGGGATGCAACACCACAGAGCAGCCTGGCTTTCCTGGATACACCCTGTCTTGCAGCTATCTGCAGCTCAGGAGTGTTTGCATCAGCCTCTCCCGGAGTGCTGCGAGCCCAGAGCCTCAGCCCGGCCTCTTTCTGGCAGACTTGTTTATCTGGGTGTTACATTGCTTGAGGCCAAGGCTTAGTTTCTGTTGCACTGGTGCCAGTGTACACAACCCTGGCAGCTTTCGGCACATAGGAGGAGTGTCATTTTATCCCAAGTCTCCCTCGGGAATTGATAACTGTTTAACAGAAGATTAGGGAGAGGATGGAGCAACTGGAGGGGTCCCAGTGTGGGGGGGAATGTACCCTGGGAGCAGGAAGAAAGGGTTGGATGGAGACTATGTGAATAATAAACTGAGGCTTTAGTTTTTTTATTTTTATGATTTGGTGGTGGTAGTGGCTAGCTCCAGACTAGGATTAATGAATCCCCTGCAGCTATTCTGCTTTGACTAGATCTGGCAAAGATTATATTAGGGAAAGAGTGGGGGGATGGAGGAAGAAAAAGCACCACTTATCAGCATGCTTATACAGATAGGAGCTAAAAGGTGTAACCTGATGAGACATCTTTCATTTCAGACAATGCAAGCCCTGCACAGTCCCTCTGGGTCTCTTAAACAGAGATATAATAAGCTCTTTGGAGCCTCCCAAAAGTACATTGCGCTATAGAAAGTGTTAAGAGCTAATTATGCAGCAGGCTGAAGGAGCCAAGGCACGGGGCTGAAACCAAGAATAAGTTTTGTACCCAAATCAGCTCTGGAAAGCACAGCTTTGCACAGTGGGATGTAAAGAACCAGATTTCCCTTCTTGCCATGCAGTGTGCATGCACATCCACCCTGCAATACAGATGCTTTTTAGCTTGGGCAGTGTCATAAGGACGTAGGTCTCAGGACATTTTTGAGCGGTCTTCAGTGCAGCAGAGGCACACCATCTGTGCAATTGGCAATCAGCTGCAACAGGATCATTCGCAAAACTTTATGTGGAAAAATATGACTTGTTTCATAAAACGCCTCCTGTACTGAAATCAACCTCCCCTGCCTTGGCCAATTGGGACCCAGAAATTTTGCAGAGCACTTTTGGTTGCATGGTGCAATTTTCAAACATGACCAAAGCAGGAGGCACAGGCTGAAAATTAGGAGACTAATACTTTTAATGTTCAGTGTTAGTGGTGGCAGTGAAACGTGGAAGAAATTCAGGGAAACCTACAGACTCCTCTGCACCCAGTTCACATCTGTTCACAATTCACTGCTACCTGTCAAACAATTAAAAACAACAACCTGTTTTATTAGCTGTCACATCCCATAAAATATTTCAGGGCCCTTCATCAGCAGCTGACACCCTGTCAATAATAGCTCTCTGGGTTAAAAAAAATGTTCACAATGTTATTTCAATGTCTGGCTCTCAGAGGTTTATCTCTACGCCCATCACAAGAGTATTCAGGCACTAAATGCAAGGTTAACAACTTTACAATTAAGGATGTGAAAGATATATAGACACTGATTTTCATCCCACTATGAGTTTGAGAAATACAGGTCTTACAGGCTATATTTTTCCATGGGTGGTCCTCCAAGGAGCGGTGCTTGGGCTGAGTTTTGGGTGGGCAAATGACTGGCCTTGACTTCACTGGGAGACAATCAGACGAGAGCTCAGAGGGGCACCTCTCCCTGCTGAGAACTGGGAAAACTGAGGGATGGTGGTGGAATGCTTTTCCTTAATTCTTGCAGTCTAGGAAGAGAGAAGATGGAGGAAAGATACTATGTCATTACACAGAAGCCAGTGGTCAGAGGCCCAGATCCATAAATGAATTTAGGAGCATAACACTAACCAAAATGAGTGGACATGGGCATCAATGTATCTCTGTGGACCTCTGTGACAAGGTACAGCTAAAAAATAATTTCTGCGTAATAAGTACAAGATCTGGTTCTGCTTAATCCTGTAGCAGTTTGTGGATCTAACCACTCATTTTATGAAGGCTTCATGGGAAAAATATGCCCTGAATACTTAGATGCTACCCCCGCCCTTGCTTGTGGCACCGCTGGCACAGTGCTCATGAACTCATCGGACATTACGTTGTTGTTGTCAAGCCCTGGCAGCCCCTATCCAGCTACCAGTGCTTCACTCTAGTAACTGCTAAGTGTTTAAGGCATCCAATCTGAAACAGATTGATCCCTTCAACACAATCCTAAATCTGCCGAGGCTGCTAAATTCTGCCTTTTTTACCTCCCACAGGAACAGGGAGACTTCCCACAAACTTTTCTTTCTAAAATGTGTTTTTCAGAGTTTTAAAAAACTGCATTCATCTATGTTTGAGAATATGGTGTCCAAGGCTGAAATAAAAGTAGTCAATATTGAAATTATAATTTTAAAAACACAAAGACTTACCAGCTCTGGTTTTTAGAACTGAAGATGTGAGTGACCATGTTCTGAAAACCTGGGGAAGACATCTTGTACTTCTTCTTGTAAAAGAAAGAGGTTGCATTCCTTTTTTTAAATACAAAGCCAAATGCAATCTAAAAGACAAATATTTTCCACATTCCACATACTACGAAGCCACAGAGTGATGAGCCCTGCCCCACAGAGCTCACAGTTTAAATAGACCAAAGAGAGATGAAATATCATGTCCAAGATCAAACACTAACTTGGTGGCTAAATCTGTGAATGGATCCCAGGCCCTTTGATTCAGAACTGCTGGCCTATTCATTCCAACCATCTCTCCTGACATGTTCTTTAATTTTCCATCCAGGCCTTATTTTTCAGGAGGTAACATTACATTCAGTACTGCTGTTTCATTACACAGGTACTTTCTATCTGACAAAAGATAATCTGTGATTAAATCAACTGGGATCAAACAAAGCAAAATGAAGAGGAAATCAGATATCAAAATCCTGTTAAACGCCTCCTAAGTGCCAGGAGCTGGTAATTTGTAACCGATAGCTGCACCTGACAGGGCTCACAATCACGTCCATGAGCCATGAGCAGGGCCTGTGGCACAGAATCAGAGAATTGTAGAAAGTATCATACAGTGATTTGGGTTGGAAGGGACCTTAAAACCCACCCAGTCCCAACCCCCTGCCCCGGGCAGGGCCCCCTTCCCCCAGCCCAGGGGGCTCCCAGCCCCGTCCAACCTGGCCTTGAACCCTTCCAGGGAGGGGGCACCCACAGCTGCTCTGGGCACCTCTCCAGCCTGCCCAGGTCCCTCTGGATGGCATCCCTTCCCTCCAGTGTGTCACCACACCACACAGCTTGGTGTTGTGGGTGAATTTGTTGAGGGTGCGCTCCATCCCACTGTCCATGTCACCAACAAAGATGTTAAATAATGCTGGTCCCAACACCCCTGAGGAATGGCACTCGTCGCTGCTTTCCACTTGGATATCGAGCCACTGACCACAACTCTTTGAGTGCAGACAATTCCTTGTCCACCAAGTGGTCCACCCATCAAAACCATGTCTCTCCAATTTAGAGACAAGGATGTCATGTGGGACAGTGTCAGGTGCTTTGCCCAAATCCAGGTAGATGACGTCAGTTGCTCTTCCCTTACCCACCAGTGCTGTAACCCCATTGTAGAAGGCCACCAAATTTGTCAGGCACGATTTACCCTTAGTGAAGCCATGTTGTCTGTCACCAGTCACCTCCTTATTTTCCATCTGCTCTAGCACAATTTCCAGGAGGATCTGCTCCATGATGTTGCTGGGCTCAGAGGTGAGACTGACTGGCCTGCAGTTTCACAGGTCTCCCTTTTTTCCTTTTTAAAAATGGGGGGGTTATGTTTCCCCTTTTCCAGTCAGTGGGAACTTCACTGGACTGCCATGACTTCTCACATAGGATGGATAGTGGCTTAGCCACTTCATCTGCCAGTTCCCTCAGGACCTACAGATACATCTCATCAGGTCCCATGGACTTGTGCACCTTCAGGTTCCTTAGATGGTCTCAAACCTGATCTTCTCCTACAATGGGTGGTTCTTCATTCCCCCCAGTCCCTGCCTTTGTCTTCTGTGACCTGGGCAGTGTGCCTGGAGAACTTGCTGGTGAAGACTGAGGCAAAAATGTCATTGAGAACCTCAGCCTTCTCCATACCCCAGCTAACCAGGTCTCCTGTTTCCTTCCATAGAGGGCCCACATTTTCCCTAGTGTTCCTTTTATCACTGATGTATCTATAGAATCTTTTCTTGTTGCCTTTGAAATTCCTGGACAGATTGAATTTTATCAAGGCTTTAGCTTTCCTCACCTGATTCATAGCTGCTTGAGCAATTTCTCTGTGTCCCTCCTGGGTGACCTGTCCTTGCTTCCATCCTCTGTAGACTTCCTTTTTGTATTTGAGTTTATTCAGGAGCTCCTTGTTCATCCCTGCAGGCCTCCTGGCATTTTTGCCTGAATTCCTCTTTGTCATGATGCTTTTATCCTGAGCTTGGAGGAGGTGACCCTTGAATATGAACCAGCCAATAAGATCATGGCACTGCAGGCATATGCAAGTCTCTAACTCCTCTTGTTTATTCATGTGCTAGGTGTGTTTTTATAGAGGCATTTAAGTTGGGCCCAGATGAAGATGACTTACTGTCTAGAGTGGCTGGAATTCCTTTGTGCTGCTCTTCAGGTGCTCTCCTGCTGCCCTCTGACCCTTCCCCAGGCTCTGGGCATCTATCACTGGCACTGGCATCAAACTGGTAGGAGTGGGATGGATTGAGTTTCCCCTCCCCTGGCAACTTTAGTTTAAATCCCGCTTCACCACCTTGGCAAGCCCATGGCCAAAGAAGTTGTTCCCCTTCTCTGACAGATGGACCCCATCAACCCCCAGTAGACCAGATCTCTTAAAGTGAGAAGGTGTAAGACGTGTCACACACTGCTTTAATAGCAGGATGGAGGTGGAATGACACTGTTTTTCCCTCTGTAGCAGGAGGACCTCATTTAATAGGAGCATAATTTTCTGCCAGTGTACATTCATGTGCTTGCAGTTGCATGCAATTATTCACAGGTCTGAAAAGAGCCACAGTAAGTGGCTGTGGTGAAAAAAAAAAAAAAAAGACGGATGAAAACAAAATAAATACTGGGTACTGGGGTGGTTCTTTAGGGAAAAAAAAAAAAAAAAAAGAAAGAAGAAAGGGGGAAAAAAAAAAAAAAAACAAACAAGAAGGGGCTTTGATTGTAGATGTTTGCAAAATCCCACATCAAACTATCACAAAGGCAGATTTCTTGATGTAACTTCAGTGATTCTAGAGAAGCACATGTGGTATCAGCCCTCTAGTCCTACAGGAAGTTTCAAAAGAACCTCAAGGAAATGTCAATGGGATGGGAAAATTTTTCCTTTGGAAATCATGGCTTATATGGTATATTTTCTGTGGCATGATGCTCAGCCTCAGCACTTCTATTTTTAAAAAAAAACAACAGTGGGAATAGCACGGGTAAACCTTGGGCAACTCTTTGAAACTCTAGGCCCTTGGTGATCTTAGCAGGTGAGCTGAGATAAATCGAGCTGCTCCAGCAGGCATGGGGCACTCGCTCTTTAAGAAGCACACTGGACTGCTGGAGTAGAAGAGGCGGGTGGCAGAAAGTACTCTTTGATATAATGATATAGCGTCCCCTCTCAAACCTCAGGGAGTCCCGTCTCCTAATATTATTCTTTCTTCATTTTCAATTCAAACCAAACGTGAAAACAGAGAGAAAATAACTCTCTTTTCTCTTTTTGTTCGCCTTTTCCCTCCTCTCCCCTCCTGCTGCTGTGACAGCAATGGGAGGGGAAGAGAAAAGGGACTAGAGCCACTTAGATCAGTTTCATGCACAGGAGAAGTAAGACAGGAATTATTTTTCTTGTTAGCCTTTTTGTAAGAAGACAGACAACCCTTTCAGCCCAAATACAATATTGTAATTGCTCATATTCAACTGACAGAGGTTCCCAGATGAGCTCCACTGAGGCGTCATTTACTAATCTGTCATGTTCTATAGCACCCAGCACAGAGCGCTGTAAAAGTGTCTTCTTCTCTTTAAGTTATTTATATAGTTGGCTGAAAGCACTTTGCTTGTACAAACTAGAAACTATTAGATTAGACCAGCAGAGACAGCCAGAGGCAATCTTTTTAACAAAGTGAGTGGGATTCAAAGTAGGGTTGGAAAGCAAATATTATTTCACTGGAAGTCTATTAGAGGTAGTTCCCTGGATAACAAATAAGTGCTTTGTTAGCTTAGCTTGAAGAAATGCACCGGTCAGGTTGGCAGCAGCTGGGTCTAATGGTAAACTGTGTGATAGCAGATGATAATTCTGTGATAGAACAACACGTAAGCCAATTTTGCTCTCCCTTCCTTCATAGCCTGCCACATCCCTTGGTTTACTTATTTAAAGTGCGTGTCAGAACTTAGCAGCTGGGGATAACTCCATTTGTTTTAAAACTTCTCATAACACACATGCACACACATAAGAAGAAAAAGTATGTAAATTCAGCCTATCAGAAAGCAAATATTGTTCTCTCCAGGGAAGGCTAAAAGGTTGTGCATGTTGGAGTGCTTCAATAAAGTGGAATCCAGGCTCAAACCAAGTTTTAGACAAAGAGCTCATCACAACAAACAGAAACTCAGAGTCTCTAAGTATTAGGTGAGATTAAAGCATATTCATAAAAATATGCAAAACAAGTCATAGTCACTATTAGCTGCTCATTCAGGCCAATATCACTTACATTCAACCCCTGAGACAGCTGCTTTCAATGATGCACGTGATTTTGCTTTGGTAGAGGACAAAATGTCTCTGCTGCAAATTCATATGAGAGTGATTCCTAAAAGTAGAAACATGTCTGCATAACACCTTGGGATCTGTTTCTTCCTATGAGAGGTGCTGCATCCATGTAAAAGGTTGTTTTTATTTATTATTAATAAACACTTGCCTGCTTGGAAATTCCTTGTTTGGAGCTTCCAGTCTGAGGGATTAAAAAGCAAAAAATATACAGTTTCCTGTGTAGTAAGGTGGATAAAAGTCAGTCAAGCCATGGGATGGATAAAATGCTAATGGGCAGATGATGAATTTTTGCAAAGCAAAAGCCTGGACGTTTCTGACTGTGGTCTGGAGGCCTAGAGGCACCAGAAGGCTTCTCAAAAGGCCATTACTCAACCCCATTCCTTGTATTCGCATGCAAAACTGGTTCCAGACTGGATGCAACAGGAATGCTGGGCTACCCAAAGGAGTCAGAGAAACCATGGCCCCATGTCCTGCTTGGTTTCACCCAGAGAACTGGATTTCCCATTGGGAAATGCATGACAACCTGTTAAGGGGGCTGGTAGGGGATTGTCTGCTGCATGTAGCTGGTAGAGCTCTAGCTGCTGGAGCAATTGGACTTGGTGTTGGGTACTGCACTCTGCCCCTTTTCTAAAGGGATCAGTAGTGCCACCCAGGGCTGTGCATGGTCTTTACCCAACAATTACATTTTAAAACTCCGGCCACCCTCAATATATGTATCTCAGAGTCAGATTCATCCCCAGGGTGAATGTAAACTCCTGCCCTGCACCCTCTCCATGTCCATCCAGCCTTTCCCATTCCAATGGGCTG